CGACTACATGGGAGTCCAGCGACATAGCCATTACGCTAACTGCTGGTCCCTCTAATTAATTTTTTTTTTTAAAGTCTTCAGGTTGGCCCCATGGCACAGTGGTTAAGCATTCTGCATAGGGAGTTGGATCCTGCATGGCTAACCGCCATTAGAGACCTGGTCCCTGTGGCTTGAAGGACATGCTGAGTGCATGTATGTGCATGCCCCAGTCCTGATAAGATGGAGCAAGGGAGGAGAGAGGATTGAGGCATGATCGTGCTCCACTAGGGAGGATTTTGTCCACTCCCTGCTGCCCCAATCCCGAAGAGTAAACACACCCTCTGCCAATTAAAAAAAATAAATAAATAAAGGAAAGAAAAAAGTCTTTGGCAAAGCAAATCAGTTACTCAGTGGCTATGGAAATAGCTAGAGAACTCTGATCCTATCGCCAAACGAATGATGACCCAGATGAGTGACAGTTGGCACAAGTGTCGGGCACTTCCTGCGTGCTCAGAGAGGTTTTGTCATGTGCTCAGCCCTAGACTTAGGACACTTAGGACACCTGAGACTGGAAGTCAAGTCAGAAATCTTAACCAGTATATACTTCCAGTTTGATTTTCTGCATGGCTTTGTAGACAAGATGACTGCTTGAAATGACCTCTTTGTCATGACAGAGGACTTTCTTTTAAGGTTTATTTCTTCCATAAGAGGAGGCAAAGAGAGAGAGAGAGATAGAGAGAGAGAGCGAGAGAGAGCGAGCACGTGGGCACCTCCAAAAGGCTTTTCATGCCACAGTCCTCCCCCAGTCTCAGCCAGCTCAGATTATCGTCATGCCTGGTGTGCAAGGGGGACCTCAGGACATTAACCTGGCTCCTTCCCGTGTGGTCATAGCTTTGGAGAGGGCTGCATTATCTCTGCTTCAGCTTCTGGTCCAGGACAGACTTTTCTTTCTTTCTTTCTTTTTCTTTCTTTCTTTTTTTTTCCATAGTGCACATGCACTCACCAGAGAGACAGAGAGAGACACAAAGGGAAAATGAGACATCACCCCCCACAAGGAGTTGGCCACGCCACAATTCCTGCTCTTCCATTTTCCTCTCAGGATTTTGAGCAAACACGCACATGCCCCAACAGGAGTTTCAAGTCACCAGGTCTAGGACTCGAACGGCAGCCGTGTGTGAGTCTAACACCTTACCCACCATGCCACCTGCCGGCCCCTAGAGCAGACTTTTTAAGAAGGTGTAACAAACAAGGCACTCTGGGTAGATGGCCTGCCACTTGACAGGCATCTCCTGGTTTATGAGTCTGGGCAGTCTTACCTTGGAGTATGTGCATATTAACACAGTTGGCACGGTCCGACTTGGCTCTGGCCTTGCGCTTCAGGGAATCTTCAGTCTGTAGAACACAAACGCGGAGAATCACCTGGTTTTTAACTTTAGACAAATGCTTCCACTTATTTCTACAGGAAAAGAACTTCTTTTATGACAAATAGAATATGCAAATATCCCTGGTCTTCCACATGTTGATGAAGGAACTCTTACACAGACCTCGCCAGTAATTTTAAGATGGGAAAATAAGACGAAAAAGGTGAAAAACTTAGGTCCACCTCAAGGCTACAAACTTAAAAGCCTTTAAGGGCCAGGCTTGTCTTGTTAATAAAATACTAATATAACAGGAATACTACTAAGCTGCTTATATTATGGTCAGTCTTTTTCCATTGCTTATTAAATTTTTTTAAATTTAAATAATTTTTTATTAGCCTCTTGCTTTATTTGTGGTGTGTATTTTCTTTTTTTTAAATTTATTTATTATCATCATAATCTTGTTTATATTACATTGAATCACATATAACTTTATAGTGTATTACATTCCTTTTCGCATTGCTTCTTAAAACAGCCACAAAATTAGCCAAAGTGAGAGAGAAAATGCTGTCTAAATTTATCTACGATACCATGATAACATACTATAGAACACAGAAAGGATATGGAAAAGTGGAATTAAAGTATGAATTTATTGGGACCAGCAGTTAGTGTAATGGCTAAGTCGCTGGACTCCCATGTAGCCGACTGCATTTCGAGGCCTGGACCCGGTGGCTTAAACTCACGCTAGGCGCGTGTGCGTGCGTGCCCAAGATCCCAAGAGGAGAATGGAGGAGAAGGGATTGCGGCGTGGCCATCCCCCCTGGGGGGTGATTTCTCGCTTTCTATCTCTCTCTGTCTTTCTGCAAAAACCTCTCCAAAAAAAAAAAAAGTATGAATTTATTTTAGTGCAAAAACTTTTGAAATCCACCCCCACTTTTTTCATAATATAAATTTTCCATGAAGCTTTTGAAGATCCCGTATCGGTCCCACCCTCTTTATTTGCCTGTCTTCTCCCTTAGGACATGTGAAAATACAAAGCCTACAGATGCAGACCCACTATGAGCTGGAAGGGCATTTAGAGACAGATTATCTCCTGTGTCTCATCAACATCTTGAGGGTGGAACTGGCTGGGCTGACCCCGGGTTCCCTGACTGCCAGTTTTAGATTTTCTCGCCCTGCAGGGAACCTCTTGTCGGGCCCTGGGATCACTCCAGTTCTCTGCTATGCTCAGGTAGTAGGAATTCTAGTTCTTCCTCTCTACCTACCAAACTATAAGGCCAGAACGCTTAGGCAAAGAAATCCCAGCAGATAGATCCTCTCTTTGCCTCCTTACTCCAAGCACAAACGCCAGGGCCAGACTGTGCACAGCAGTAAAACACACCACTCTGCATGGATAGTCCACATGGAGGGGTTCCAGCTTGGCATCTAGAGACCTTACTGTCTGCCAAGCATGTATGTGCCCATAACGCAGAGCTGGCTAAAGCTGGAGGTGGACTGCAACAGCAAGACCTGTGGGGAACATTCTTTCTCTCTCGCTCATTTGTGAAAGAATGAAAGAAATAAACTTAGAAAACAAACATACAAACAAACAAACAAAAGAATCAACAAAGGGGCTAGCTCTATGGTGGTTAAGGCAGTTGGATTCTACATGGTTTAAGTCCCACACTCAGTGGCTTGAAAAACTTACAAGGTACATGAATGCACATGCCCCAAATCTTGACAGGAGGGAGGAGTGAATGATAAGAGATTGCTGTGTGACCATTCCCCATTGGGGTGGAGGATGAGTCTGTCTCTCTCTCTCCCTCTCTTTCTGTTTCTCTCTCTTGGTAGACATATGTGCCCTCTGGAGAAAAAAACCAAAAACCAAAAACCAAAACAAAACAAAACAAAATAAAAAGCAAAACACAAAAAAACAAAAACAAAAGTAAAAAACCAAAGTTTTGATACTTACTAAATGTTATTATTTAAGACAGAGTCTTGTCAAGATACTTCTGTCTCAGCCTCCTGAGTCACTGGGATTACAGGCATGTGCCACCATGCCTGGTATTTATAGTTGGCTTGGGAATTGAACCTGAGTCTCTCATGGGGTTCTAGCCTGTAGAGCACAGAGTCTTAGCAGCATGAATCACAGCAGCTGGGCCAATATTTATATTATTGGTGCACTTCAGTTGCAGAGCTCCATTAGGAAGGTGCAGGATATATACCAATTTCCCCCCTCAAATGTTAAAAAAAAAAATTGGGAAACAAACATAATTCCTTTTGTTTTCACATAGTTACAAATAAGTTCTGTAGCCACAGATCCCGCCCTCCCACTGAATTAAACAAAATCTGTTGCTAAGAAAGGACTGTAATAAGAGATGTTAGGCAGCTTGTAAATTGTTTCTGCTTCCCTTTAAAAAAAACTATTAAATTTAATGACATATATTATTATTATTATTTAAAATTTGGTGAGAGAGAGAAGGAAAGTGAGAAAGCAACCGCCAAGTCTAGGACTCAAACCACAGCCAGCCATATGGGAGTTTAGTACCTTAGCCACCACACCACCTGCTGGCCCCTTTACTTCCCTTTTTCAAGTCTTTTTTTTTTTTTTTTTTTGGAGAGATTTTT